GTCTCTGTTCAGAGTGCAGGATTACAGTGTTCCTGTAGGGTTTCTTAAGGCCTGCAAAAACATCCATCCCTCCTTGGCAAGTCAGGGAGCAGCAAAGCAGGTTACGAGGAAGGCTTAAGGGGATTGTCTTGATAGAGTCCTCCGACCTGGGGTTCTTTTCGGAGACTTATTCGATATTGCCTTAAGGATTGGTCCTCTCTACAGCAAGACCAGGCAGCACCCGTCCCATAGACTTAAAGCTTACTAATAGACTGGCGCCAGCTCGGTGTCAGTGATGCCTGCACCTGGGCTGCCAGGTTTCCGAGCGCATGGTGACCAGATTAGAGTGAGGCACCTAACTTTCCGAGATTTGTGGCAAGGACACAAAGGCCACTGCACCAAAGCCTGCCTAAGGCTGAGGTTGTCGCTATCAGCCTCGAAATGATGCAGTCAGAGACCGCAGAACATAGCTTCCAGGGCTGTGGTTCATCCATGTGCTTCTGAAGGGCGCAGGCTTTGAGCAGCAAGAAAAGGTTTAGTCAATCCCTTGGCCAGTGCTCATCCTCCTTTTTTCCACCATGAGGCTCAGGCTGCTTAGTCCATTTTGCAAAGATCAGAAGTTTCTCTCTGGAATTCTTTCACAATCCAAGCTCGGATATGATGCCAGTTCAGCTGAGCACCTGCAATCTAGCTTTCAATTCCATCCAGGAAGTTTAGCGCACCCATCATAGTCTGGCAAGTTTGGGTGTCTAAGATGTTGATCGGCTTGTTTGTTCTGCTGATGCCATCCCACTCAGGAAGTGCTGTAATAGGCCAGCGAGGCGCATAGGGGTTTGAATACCGCAAGGATGTGAGGCAGCGCATGGAATGCTCAAAGAGAACACGCTGAGACTGCCTCACTTTGCCATTGCTGGAACCTCGAATGAGGTATTCTCGGAGGCACTCTACGTCCAAGTCCAAGAAATTGTCAACCGCCTCGAGGCTTCTTTGAAAGTGAAGTTTCGCCCGGCACGCCCAGATCCAGTGTTAGCAGCTCCGATCCATCGCCCGCAAGATTTGTTGTCCTCCTGGCTATGTTCCTCAAGATAGTTTTCTGTGCTCCCAAAATTTGAGATGCGCAGTCCTGAGTAGTCACATCAAGCTTCACAAGCCTATGCCTTGAGTGTTGTTTTGGGTACGCGTGTTTAAAACATGAGGCTGCAAACTGCAAACTACCACACTTAAGGATGCAAAGACCTCACGTTCCGTCGCAAGCCCATCAGATACTTTGAAAGGGGCCCGCCAGCAATCTACCAGGTTCATGATCATTCCCATGGACTGGAGGGCACCACGGCTGATCAAGATTGGAACATCTTGCTCAACGATGCTTGTTCGAAGCATTACTGGCAGCTTGCACCCGGGGACGCACAAGGGAAACACCAAAGCTCTTGATGAAAAGATTTTTGGGCCGCCGCCGAACCTAAGGGGCTCCCTCTCCTGAAAATACTTGAAGGGGAGACCGCTGTCCTTCAACTTAGCCACACGCGCCTTCACCCAGTCTTGTCTGGCCACCGTCTTGTGACAGTCCCAGGTTAGCGCTCTCTTCTCGCAAGCAGCTCTGACCAAGGCCCGTACCATGCACCAAGAAAGCACTGTCCTCTTTGTCCTCGTCGTCTTCCTCCGAGCTGGCCTGCCCAACCACGAAGGCCGCGTGATTGTCATCCGCTCATTCTCCGCGACGAAGGCGTTCTTGTCTTTCTTCTTCTTGGTTTCTTCATAGTACGGTCACTCCTTGTCTGAATGCCAATGTCCAAACACAGTCTTACCATGTGCGCGACAAGCGTTGCATGGCATTCTCTGCTTCATATTGTTGATCCTTTTGGCTCTCTCTCTTCACCACTCTCGGTCTTCTGAAAGCCACGGGTCCTTTCAACCATGGATCTCCTTTTGGCAACTTGAGTCATCAGAACGGAGGCCTCTTGCTCCATGGCCTCCACTAGGGCCATCTCATCCTGAACCTTGGCTTCGATTGCAATGGCCTCGTTGTCAGACTCATCCTCCCCAAAACCGCCGACCATGTTGACCCGGTGATCGAACCCACGACCCTTCCAAAGCCGAGAGGGATCGGCCTCTTTGTCCATCTGCGCGACTGACTGTCGGACTGATAGCCGCCAACGCGTCCTTGAGCTTTTCATATACTCATAGCTGCCCTCTGAGGCCGAGACAATTTTCCGCCGCATGTCCTCCGACACGTCGGCCTTGGCCAAAAACCAATAGCCCCTAGTCAGGCCCTCGATTCCTGCTCCGACCACGAAATGCCGAATCGTATGCCACCACGTCCTGGCATTTCTGCCTCCTGAACTGCTCATAAAAGCCATGAAGGGTCTTAAAGACACGGACAAACTCAAGCGGCTCCAGCTCGGACCACAGGTGGTTCAGGAGGATCTGGACACAATCGTCGCACTTCAGGCTGCTGATGTCCAAGGTTTCGGTCGCCCTCCATGCTTGTCCAGACATCCTTTCCACCAAATGCCCCGCCTGATAGCACTTCTCGAGCGACGTCGTGGACTCGAAAAGGCGGACACGCCTCTGGCACTGCCTCATCGACGATGCCCCTGTCGTATTCTGGGACGAGCTCCTTTCCAGAATTCTTCTTGGCCGCCGCTGTCGATGAAGTTGATTGTCCCTCCTTTGAGGCGGTCACGCTGGCACCGTCCGACCTAAGTGCGCTGCTCTGCTCCCTCCACCATTTGCAGAGGTCATTGGTAATTAATAATTAGGACTGAACCACTTTCTCTCGATTGCCCATTCAGTCCCTTGATCAAGCGATTCACCCCATGTCCATCCCAAGGGAGTCTCCCACCACTTTCCGGCACTGTCATCCTCTGATGCCTTGCTCTGTTCAGCCTCGCCTGCGCTCGTGGCGGAATCGATGGAGGAGCGCCTGCTCCAAGCCCACTGCCAAGAATCAGATTGTTGATTCTCAGCCCACTGATAATTGCTTTGCCACGGCGATTGCCACTGTCAATTCTGCCACTGGTTTTGCCACCCTTGCTGATCACTTTGTCCGCTACTATCTGCTTGCTGCTGTCCCGGCGAAACACTATCAGAACTCTTGCCCTGAACCGATGCCCTGCTTCGCGGCACCAATGCGAATCTTGGGGCTACAACCCGTCACAATGACACGTCAGCCATGGCGCGCCTTTTCTGCTTCCCAGCTGGTGGGATCCCGGAGCCGCACTGGCCATGTTCGAAAGGAATCAAGCGCATTCAGATCAATCAAGCCCTACCAGCTTTAGCACTGAGGGTTTAGCGCCAAACCCAACTTCAGAGGGCTGAGCGACAAAAGCGAATTCAAGGTGTAGCGCCAAACCGGAATTTGGGGCAAGTGCCAGACCGGAATTTCAGGTTGTGAACCAAGTCAGATTTTAGGGTGCGCCAAGCCGCCAAGCCCCCGAACCCAGAGTTTAACACTAAGCCTGAAATTTGAGGGCTAAACGTCAAACCCAAATTTAAGGTTTAGCTCCAAGCCCGAATTTGGGGAGGCTGGAACTTAGGGTCTAGGACCCAGCCCAAATTTACGGTTTAGCGCCAAACCCGAACGTAAGGTTTAGAGCGAATCCGAAGTACCGTTTAGCGCCAAACCGCCAAGGCAGAATTCAAGGTTTAGCACCGAGCCCGAAATTTGAGGGTTAAGCGTTAAAGGATTTAGCGCCAAAGCTGAAGTGCGCCGCCAATCCGGAATTTAAAGATTTAGCGCCAGACCCGAATTTAAGGTTTCGCGCCAAACGCGAACTGAGCGTTTTAACGCCAGACACGACTTTTGGGTTTAGCGACAGACGCCGAATTTGAGGCTTAGCCGGTTTAGCGCCAAACATGAATTTGGGGTTTAGCGCCAAACCCGAATTCAAAGTTTGCGCCAAACCCGACTTTAGGGCATATAGCGCAAAACTCGACTTTAGGGCTTAGCCTCAGATGCGAATTCAAGGTGTAGCGCAAAGCCGGAATTCGCGGTTGAACGGGAACGAGAATGGCAAGTATTTTCACTTTGGTGCGTGATTTGGCATGTTTTCTCGAACATTATTTGACAATCCAGGGAGGATCCAGGAATTTTCTCATTCGTATTCAAAACACGAAAACAAAAAAGGAGCACAACAACCAACAACAAAATACAAGAAAGACACCCTCAAAAATGGGCCTTCCAAACAGTTAGCGGTTGCACACTTTCCATCCACGAACCTCTCAGGACGGCTTTGTTATAGGTAAGTCTTTCTTTGGGGCTCCCAGGCAGGGTCTCTGGCCAGGGAAGAGATTCTCCCGGCGTAAGCTGAATTCAAGGCATGCCCTTCAGCAAGGTCCTGGCAAACCCTTCCGGTCCTGCAAGTTACTGATAATGCTTTGTTCCAACTACGTCACGTAAGTTTGCACTTTTTTTTTTGGGGGTTTTTGGCTGCTCCGAGAAAAACCTGTTCCCTGCTGTGCTTTTATGTGTGTTCCGTTGGGTTCCCGCTTTTTTGCTTTTGTCATGTTTTTGGTGGCGCGCCTACTGGGGTGCCCTGCATTCGTGGGCTTTTTCAGCATGCTGCAGGTGCCGGTGCTCCTTGCTCAGGCGAATGCGCACATGTTCAGGTGCACCCCAGGCTACCCGGATAATAACGTTCGTGCAACTACTACGCACATGTTGAGAAGCAGTGACCGAAAGTGGGCAACACTGTGCAAGCTGGAGCATCCCACACACGATCTCCATCTTACCCCCCATCTAATGTTGAGCTCCCGCACTCCAATGTCTGAAGCTCCTGTAGCTTAGATCGAAACCCACGGCTACGTCATCCAGTTTAAACCCTCAGTCTTTGGATCTCGCAGCTGCTGACCTTGACTCAAAGCTAATTTTGCACGCTGTGCTGCTTTTTGTTGGCCAGCACCTGGCCCCACATGGAAGCAATATGCATGCCACGTGAAACCTCAGTCTGTCACAGAATTGAGCGATTTCCATATGCCAGCTTCACATGGGGTGACGCGCAGATAGCTTTCTGCAGGATTGGCTACTCGTCCTTTTTCTTCTTCTTGTTGCCGTGTGCGCTAATTCGGGGGCTTGCGCAGCAGCACCAGCAGCAGAAACGAATCGAAAAGCCGCAGCAGCATGAAAGACACAAAAATATGACCAGTCCAAACAGTATGCTCAGGGCTTTCTCTGGCCCGTGCTCGCGCCGAAACAATGGGTCCAGCTGGCTCATCTTTGCTTTTGCATGAGGCAACATGTCCGGAAAGCGGCCCTCCGCAGCCTCTTCCACCAGGTCCAAGGTGCGCTCAAGCCCTCCGTACTTTTGCAAATCTAGAGCAGCTTTTCGTGTTGCCTCGACAAAGCTTGAATTCCCGGCAACAGACTCCGCTGCCTGTACCAAATTTGAGAAATCTGGAAGCACAAGCACTGCTGCGTCAACTTCCACGAGTCGTTGGGCATTGTCGAGCTGGTCAGCGAAGGAAGGGTATGCCAACACAGGGACACCTGCTGCTAAGGTGTCCGTGACCCCGCCCCATCCGCAGTGGGATAAGTAAACCTTGACTGCTGGATGGGAGAGGACTTCCGGCTGCGGTGTAAATTCTTCGATCATCAAGTGCTCGCCTGCAGGAATCAGTAGGTGCTGAAAGGCTTCTTGCTGCGTGGCACGCAAAGCCCATAGAATGCGAAAGCCGTTTGTCATCAGTGTTTGGAGGACTGCGACGAAGTTCCGGCACGTAGACTCAGTAAATTCATACTTGGTTCCCATGGACACATAGATGACAGGTGCTGGTGCTGCGCTGGCACCATCCAGCCAGCGACTTAGTGTTGTCGGCAGGCCCCGTGCCCGAGGCCTCTCCACTGTCCCCACCTTAGTTTCTCATCAATATGCAGGTGTTGAAAACTGTTCTACCTCCCCAAAAATGAAGAAAACGTCTGGCAACATCAAAGCCGCGACGTGCACGCCCTCCGGCAGCTTGATTGGGAGGGAAAGCGGCGGCCCACCCAGGAGTACGTTGGTTCGTGCCTCTACGGGCACCAAATGGTGTGCGTTTGAAAGATTCAGCGGCCCCAGGTTTCCCCACGAATGAAGCTGAATAAGGTGCATGGTCCAATTCACTCCAAGGTGCGGCCAGAAAAAGATGTGAAAAATCCCTTGCTGGTTCCAAGCCTTTGCTCTGCAAAACAGAGTTTATGACCAAAAAGCCGACGTAAAAGAACGCCCTCTGCAACATGCACTCCACACGATTCTGCGCGCGCTTCAAGAGGGAAGACTGAAGATCCGGTACAGACCTGGGATTCCAAAAGTTGGGATACTTGCACACTTCCTCGGTGTCGCTGAGCACCATCTGAGGGATGGGGGGAAGGCTCACGAAACCTACGAACGGCAAGGAGGAACTCTTCAGAAGGGCGTTGCAGCTGATCGACATGGCCGAAGAAAAAGCAACATCAAACTTGTTGTTCTCCAGCAATCCCAGGAAGTCATCCAGCATCGATAGTAGGGGCTTCTCGAGAATGGACCTTCCATTCCAAATCATACGGCTCCACACGGGGATGCGCTCGTACCAGCGAAGGTTTTTCATGTCTGGGAACTTGACGGCTGAAACGGATGCAGATTCGTCTCCCAGAAAGACTAAGTTGGCAGAGCCAATGCCTTCTGGGAACCAACCACGAGCTTCACTGGTGTTTGGAAGGGCAAATGTGACGTTGTGACCACGCTCCAGCAAGCCCTCCACCACGGGCACAACTGCCAAATGGTGACTTCTTAGCACGCCTCCAGTCACCAGCACTTGCTTTGCCTGTGCCGTCGAAGCAGCCATCAGCATCAAACACATCTTCGCAGCAGTGCTCATGATTTCACAGTACTTTCCAAAACATGGAAGAGTCCCGGATCTCTGCAAACAAAATTAGACTAGAATGGGAAGCAGAAAACCGTGCATGCAAAGGCTTTCATCAATATCTGGCCATAAGCCTCAACTTTAACAGCACCTAGCTCATGGCTGATTGACGTCAGAGCGAGATGTTAGAAAAACAAATTTGAAATGTCGGTCACACGAACTTGGCATCACGATAGGATAGTGATTTGCATCTATGTAGTAGGGACAACTCTCTGAAAAAGACTCGTAGACATGCGGCTTTCGCAAACAGGGGCTAGGTATTGCTTGTGACGGCTGCCACTACCATACATGTACCACACTCATGCATGATCCTGCCGCCCCCCCTCGCTTTTTTCAATCCCGCGGCTCAAATGCGAGGCTTGCGATTGGGAGCACCTGACTCGCTATGTAGTCTCGCTATGCAGATAACTCCAGGATTAATTTCAGGGCCAAAACTGACAAAAAGGAGTTGGAAAGGAGAGGCCAATCCTGAAAGAGATGCAGGGTTTGGCCAGACCAGAAGACAAGGCCGTCGAAAAAGCAACACGTGCAGGCAAACGCTCTGAGAATTTCAGGGCTGAGTGTAACAGGTGCTCCAGGTGTTTCTGACAGCATATGATATCAACACCGAATTCATTGGCTGCTTCTGTAACAGGTTTTGAACATACAGATGGGATCTGCAGCTACGAAGCGCACTTAGACTTGGCATTCCAACATAACGCGAATCCCACATGCGCAAAGCACTTTTGCTCTATAATTTTCAATCCATTGCGTTAAGAGCTGATCCCACCCTTGCAGCCTGCTGAGTGGTGAACAAAATGTTCACGACATTGGAGATTTCTGCCATGGGAGTGAATTATAACTTCGTACTCTTCACAATGGTACTTTGCAGTGCTGGAGCTGTATGGCAGAAAGCATTGTGAGGTTTTGTACAAAGAGCGAAGGTAGATAGAAAGTCGAGTAGGGCAAGCTGATCTCTGCAGAAGTTATGCAGAGCTTAACGGGGCCCAAAAGTTGGGAATCTTTCAAACAGCAGAGGCAAGATATAGACTACTGCAGTGCAGGAAAGGACATGTTGATTCATCAACCTCTTGAGCTCCCGTCTAACGACTCCAAAGATGAGATGCTGCATCCGATTCTGCGAGGACTACGCAGGGACACACGTTGGCATCACAACTCTTTTGGCTCTTTTGATGCCCAGCGCGTCATGGACATTGACATCATGGGGAGTTTGCCATTGAGCATGCTTCAGACTTGCAAAGCTTGGCCATTCAATGTCTCTTCCTGCGTCGCATTCAACTTGGTAGAGCTGCTTCATGTCCGCGCCTGGCCACATGAAAATCAAGACGCAAGTGCACCCGCGTGATTGAAAGAAATGAGCTTGGGGCAAGTCGTTTTGCAAAGCCCAGGCTGCTGCGGCCGTGCAGGCTCTGCAGGCTCTGCTCCGAAACAGACTGACCTGATGTCCTGCAGAATTTCTTCGTCTCCCTTCGTGTCTTGCGTCACTTTGTTGCGGCCCTCCTCTCGCAAGCCTCAAGGCCTTGCCTGACAACGGATGCCCATTATGAGATCTGCTTCAAAAGACTTTTCACATCAGAACTCTAGTCTCAGCACTTGAGACGCTCAACACTGAAGTCTCCCATCTCTCGTGTCATATTAAACACGCTCCCAATTCTGTGTCAACTCGCTCCTGGTCCTCCCTAAGGCCATTTGGTCTTAACCCTAATTCCAAACCTCAAACACACCTTAAGAGAACATGTCGCATACAGGATGGGAATTCTAATAGATTCTGACTGTACACTGCGCACTCATTGGATGCCTTCGGGTGCGTCACCCCTGGAGGGAGGACCAGTCGATCGGCCCCCAATAAGAACTTGCCCACCTGGCCCAAGGTGAGTAGCACCATGACAAAAAAACAAAAGTTGCCATAAACACCATTAATGTGTTGACTGGTATGCTTTTCTTTGTACTTGGTAATGCCGTCATTGCAGAACATTACGTATTGCAAGATACTGGAGCATGCTAGAGAAGGCTCATGGGCTGTCCCACATATTCTGTTGTAGGACTGTTGAGTTATGGGGTCCTGTGAAGCCTTTACGTGTGGAACCTGAATCAGCTAGCTTACTCATGTTGCCGTTTTTGCGCATTTTCCTATCTTGCACTCTAAGGCCTCGTTGAGGCCGTGTGCTCAGAAAAGGTTCATGTAACAGAAACGGCAGTGAATGAGGAGTTGATCGAGGGTTGTTGACCTCCGCGGACACATGCGCATCCACACATCTCCTGACAGGCAGCTGATGAAGTTTACTGTTCACATCATGGCTCATATCGCAGGTTGATTTGAGCATGGGCCTCGACCAACCTGAGATCTCGTAACAAGTTGTTACATGGGGTGCCATTTTGGAAGCGATAGAACAAACATCTCCCCCTGAACTCATCCTCCTCAGTCAGTATGTGACTATGGTGATATACACTTTGCCAAACTTCTGGCTTCCAAGTTATGACAGCACTCATGCTTGAAGCACAGAGGATGCCTGAAGCCCCAAACATCCTGTCACCCTTCAAGCTTCTTCCACACTCCAAAGCCCCAAAATGCCTGCATTCTGCAAGAAATGTACGGGAGTGGGCTCTGGATCGCTTCAGGCTGCCTTGTACTCGTTGCGGGCATCAGGGGCAACGACGTAGGTGACACCAAGCTTGTTGTCACAGAACTCGCAAGAAACCTTGATTTAGCAGGAATCCAGACTTGGTGCCCCGCGTGTCAGGGCCTACAGCACTAGCATGTGCGCCAGCTGCATCGCTGCAAAACGCACTCATCGTGGTGAGTCTTAAGCTTAGAGCACACATCAAGGATCTCGCATTTTCTGCACCATTTGGAGCGGCAGTTTCTCCTGTTATGTTCTGAGGACAAACAAAACCCACTTCATATTTGGCAGCTTTGCTGCAGGTCCCTCTGCATATCTAAAACCAGGAGAAGACAATCCGATTAGAAGTAGACTGCCCTGTCCGAGCTGCGCCTTAGGTCTGGACTCCTCAACAAAAATCCGATGGGACTCTGTGCAATGTTTGTCATGTTGCTGTGACTTCGGAAGTTGGGGCTTCGACTCCTAGCAGTCTGGAGGCAAGGGTGGCGGCAACTGCATTTCTTGAAGTGCAAAGGCAGGACAGCACCGCTGCCGAATGAAAACGTATGCTCAATACTCAATACGCACGCAGGAAGATACAACACATTCTACCGTAGTTGTGGGAAGGGATAGCACTAGTTGTTGCTGTTGTTGCCAAGAAGGACGGCTGTCTGATAACGCGTGGATCATTTCGAGATGGCGCTCTCAAAATGAAGTCCCCATGATGAGGTGCGTCCCCTTCAGGGCATGCATATGCGTCAGCTCAAGAGCATGGAGATTTAAACTTTTATTCCCGAAAGTCAGGATTTGCAACCCTGAGCAGCTTCTCATGAAGCCGGCAGCACAGAATACCTTATCTGAGGATGGAAGCCCAAACCTGGTACCGCTTGTGCAACAAGTGGCTTCGCAGATGACATAGGAGCCGGTGGTGTACATCACCTTAGGAATTATGTGGGAACTTACGTATGAATTCAAGGGGAGCTGTGGAGACTGTGGATGGTCGCATGCAGATCATCCAGGCTTCCAATCCAAGGCGGCAGCATGACATCCTGTCTATGGTGCAATGGCTTCTTCGGTTCTCCAAAAAACAGGTTGCTTTTGAACAGTTCTACAGAAGGGCTACAAGAGCCCCATGCATCATCCAAGTCACGGTCTGTCTCTCCACAGATGCCTTCGTATTTTGCGTCGCATCCACCAGGTAGCCCGGGCCCGTCCTGATGGAATTCATCCGAACCATGGCAACAATGATCATGGTTTCTAACAACAACGATCTTCAAGCTGCCTGTTATTTTCTTGATGTCCCCACTACCAAGCAATCTACCGAGAATTTCATGGCAGGGGGAAGATGATGTCAATATGGGCCTTGCAGCTCAAGTAGCTTGCTGTGCAAGAGGGACACGGTTTAGGATTCATAGGTGGAAGAGGACACACTTCTTGGGTTTGCCCGCGGTCTGAGGAAGCTGAAGGCAAGGGACAATGAAAGCAATCTATCATCTTTTAACCGGAAACTCGCAAGGCTTTGTCAAGGTATACGAATACACCCCTAGCCTCTGGTTCCCAGTTCCCAAGCGAGAAACAATGTATCTTTGAGAAGCTGAGGGCAACACATGGCTTGGTAGTTTGATGAGAGGATGTCCGTTCCGCAGAAGATCCGCACATTGCAGCCTCTCAGCAGGGCTTTTAGCTAGGACATGCTAGGACGACAGAAGGCTTCTTGGTGGTACAGTGGGATCTGAGCCTAATGTTGGAGATTGTTACATCATGTCTGGGAACATCGATGTTTCGAGCACTGCATCTGGCAGAAGAGTTTTTTTGCGGGCCAGGAGGAATTTGAAGGTAGAACGGTAGAAAGTCAAAACGAACCTTCACTACTTGATACGGCCCTCACCCGACGACAACAACAACAACAACAACAACAACACCAGCAGCAGCAGCAGCAGCAGCAGCAACAACAACAACAACAACAACAAGAAACTGCAGGTGCAGGTGTGCTCTACGCGTAGAAGTTGGAATGAGCCCCTAAATGAAACTAATGCTGGGTTGGCAGTGCCAACTGCTTTTTGGACTTCAAATGCCGTGTGGGCTGGCGGCTCACAGCAATTCAAAGGTAAAAAACTTTGCAGGCTAGCAGAAATTCTAATTTAAAGTTCATGCTAAGTTTCGAAGGCTGCGCGGGCTGACAACCTGGAGCAAGTCAGAGTCCATGTTGAGCTTCAAAGGCCGTGCAGACATTCAACGCGCAGCGATTCCAACCTAACTTGGTTTTGCCATTGCTGCAGGCTGCAGGCCCGAACGCCCTTTGAAGCCACGCTTGCTGGTCTTTGGCGGCCCGGCGCAATGCAAAGCCCAAGTTGGGGTTCAATTGCTGCGGGCTGTTCAGGTTGTTGGTGCGACGTTTGAAACTCATTGGCTTTTGGAATTCAGCAGGGCTTTGAATTGCTGTGGGCTGCGTGCTTGCTGGCAGCCCACAGCAATTTAGAGCCCATACTGGCGTTCAGCTGTGCATCATGTTCCAAAATCATAACGATGGACAAAAAGCATGTGATGCCAGATTGGCAGTTAGAAAACCATGCAGGCTGAACTGTTGCGGGCTGCTTTACGGGGTGCTAGCCGACTCGGAATGAGAAAAGGTGGAAGTGAGCACATGAGCACAAAACATCTTGCAGGCTGTATTTCAGGGTCGAGGTGCAACGCTTAGATGATCCATGATGGATTGAGTGGGCAAGCCTTGCTAGAGGCAGTGAATGTTTTGCACATGGAATTTTCCAGAGTTCCTTGGAGACTTTGACAACTGTTATTGAACTCTTTGAATGGTCTGCGCAAAGTTGTCAACCCTAAAACTTACCTGCACGCTCGCCGTCGTAGAGGTTGTGGTTTCACACCGGCATGAGGATGACCAAGCAAAAGCCCGAACTATGCGCGGTCAATTCTTCCAAATGAAAGAATGCTTACCTTTTTGTGGCCAAAACATGTACCGAATATGTAATCAGAAATTATGTATCAACTGGTACCTTGTGTAAAGGGTTGCATTGCCAAAGCCCAGGAGACAAGCACCTTATAATAGTAAATGCACTACATGCTGCTCGCGGTAGGGATGTGATAACTGCATACGCGGCAAGGGTAGACAAGAAACATCCTAATGTGATAGCCACAGCAGTAGCAGAACCCGTCCAAGTCTGGCAAGGCGCCGCGGCAACGGAATCCATGCTCCTGAAAACTAGCGGTTTTAGAGCTCAGGGCAGAATTTGTATTGGGATTGAGTGCTTTGTAATCTTTGCAAGATGATCACACAAAAGTAAAAGTGAAGGCACCATGGACTCAGAAGCATCAATTGTCGTGCTGGCAAAATATGGCAAAAAATGTGATCTTCATTTTTTTCATGGAAATTCTGGTCCTGGCTCCAGGATGCTCCAGGAGGGTTGCCATGCTTGGGTTCTTTCACTCTCCGACTCTTGACCTTCCTCGTTTACACGTTCCTCTATTTGTTCTGGAACGTGCCTTCTCTTGTAAATGACAGCTTCCCTTTTTCAGGCAAGGTTTATGGCATAGCGTAAAGATTTGGGAGTAAGGTTATAGAAACAAAGCTCGTGCATATGATTGAGCCGAACAACGCATATCTACCTGTGGTGGGATGATCATATATGCAGTTATATCTACATATGCTGTAAGTTGCAGGATGCTTGTTTTATTCTGCCGCTGTCCTCCTGGGGCGGCTCCTCATTTGCCGGCTTCTCCACTGTAGGGAGGCTCTCCGCCTGATACCACAAGGACCCGAGCCCTGCCCCTTCCTTTTAACGCGGAATAACGCATTGCGAATACCAGGAACCAGTATGACGATGCTCATCACAGGAATACTACACATCGTAAGCAACAGGAGAGGAAGAGGATTTCAGCAGTATCGCCCAAACTGTGCTAGCAGGAGAGAGGGATTGGCTGCCCCTGCGAACTGCAGGGTCTGGTCCTTAGGAATGTCAAGGGCTTGATTTCATGAGCTGCAGCGGCATCAGCCCTCGATTCCTTCCCGAGGAGCCAAGTTGATCCTAGCTTGCCCACCTGCAAAAAATGAGGGAGCTTCTTGAAGTCAGGTGACGTCTCATGAGGAAATGTTGCGCGGGCACGCAAGACCCGGCCAAGCAATGACAACGTTTTGAAACACTTCAGTACCCGTGAAACCCTGAGCCCTAATCCATAAAACCTCATGTTACTGATGATTCAGGCTTCTACATTTTGCCTGTGCCGGCTGCGGAGCTTTCACCTCCTCCTTGACCGGGGGCACACTCGGTGGCTCCTGTGCCAGAAAGGGCTCATGTCTCCTGTGGAAGAACATGAAAAAACATGTTGGATGTTGGGCCGCATCGCAACCGGATAAATGCTCCAAGAAGATGACCTGCTCCAAACATCTAGACTCGCAGCAGGGAAGCCTGGAACGGCCGAAGACCAGAGATTGTGTCGTGAGAACCTGAAACCTTAGACTCCTCTTCTTGACGAAGCCCAGAGATCGCATGGTTTGAGCCCCAAATCTGTGTGTGATCATCTTTCAGTCCTCCTTTTTCCGAAGCCCCTTAATCTTTATTTTTGGATGCTTTTGCCTACCTTGTAATGATTGGTGAGCCACCCCGTTGAAACCCAAACCACACCTGATTGCCTCTCGCGCGAAAACGTAATGGTTTCCGAGAATATTTATTCCCAACCATTCAGCATGCCCATTCCGTGAATGCACGACCATCATGGACAAGGACTCCAACAAAGCGACAGCTTTTACGTGAAGAGAACGTTCGCCCTAGGCACCTGGCTCCACGCATCTCTTCAGCCGAAAGTACCTTTGCCCTCGACCATAACCTAATACACATGATCTCTGCGTTTCAAAGCCTGAAGCTTGCCCCTGTGGGTTCTTTGAATGTTGAGCGTGCCTGGTACAATCTCAACAAGCCAAACAACATGTTGTCATGCTGTGACCTCGCAATCTCCAGTAATCAGGAAGTCGTCCACTACCCACCTGGAGCAAAAGAGAAGCGAGGGGATTGTGACTGCCACTCTCTCGAACTAGCTGTCGGCCTGCCTTTGCATGTTCATACACTCTGCAGAAGCCGAACTAAAGGCCACATTGCACCATACGTCAGAAGAGTCTCAAACAACTTGCCCCTGAATAGGACCCTGCTTATTATGAGAATCTATTTTCAATTTAATACTGAACATGTCATCGCATTGTTGCATTTGTGCTGCAATGCAAGTATGCAATTTGAGGTGATATTCTTGTTCTCACTGCTCATACACTTCTCATCGTTCTTTTCTCACAACTCCTTTTGGTGATCGGCTGCCCCAAACCCTGCTGTTGTCCTGACTTGTAAGATGATGTCACTGCCATCAATCTGGTCTGCAAGCCCCTTCCCCCAACAATTAGCCACCTCACCCCCTAACAGTATATCTCCCTAATGTAAACTACTACATGGTGAAAGCAGATAGATACATGAATATATCCCTCCTCCGAAGAGCTCAGGGCCCGCAGGAACTCTGTGAAGCATTCACTTCAGGCCTCTCTGACATTTGAAAGTCCTCCCGTTCTCTTTCATTAGACCTGTGACTGGCTCACTTCGCCGGGCTTCTGTTGCGATTGCGCCCTCCTCCAGACGGCTGTGAGGACGCACTGTGTTACTCAGGTGTGGCATGGTATGCTCCCTTTGCAGGAGATATGTTTTCCTTGGTTCGCTGCCTTGCCCAGTGAGGCCCTCCTCCGCAGGCTGCAGTGGAGCGTGTCTCCTGACGGAGGTGTGCTCAGGCGACCTTGCTGGCATGACATTGCTGGCAACGTACGTTCTTTTCGCATCGGCTTTGATGGCACGGGTCTTCTTCGTGAGTGGCTCCTGCTGTTGCATCGGCGCATGGCCTTGTCAAAATGCGGGCACGTCACTAGGAATCTTCATAGACAGGAGCCAGGCTTAGCACAAGGGGCTGAATGCCACCTCCTCCACACGAGTCATTTGTTCATGCTGCGGTTCACTGTAAGACGTGGCGCAGCTCTCCTTCACGGGCGTTGTCACTTGCTGCTCTGGCCTCTGGCGGTTGGGGGCGGCATTGGGGTCTATGCCTCGGCCTGCCTTTGTGGCCTCCGTATGCCCAGCATGGTCCACTTGACATTTCATTGTCACGCAACGAATGATTTGAGGGTTGGCTTGAAGCCACCTAACTCTAGGGTGGAGGAGCGCCTTCTAGCTGTTGAGGCTGAAGAGGAGCCACCTCCTCTTTTGCTTCTCGCTCCTCTCGAGCTTGTTGAGGAACGGGCTTCATCCCTGCCACCGTTGCCTTCATCGCTGGCTGTTGCTACTGATGGTAGCTCTGAAAGTACCGTTGTTATCCCCGCGTTGAGCTTCGCGGTTTCCACTGGTCTGAGCGATGAGGATCAAGGCCCGTTTAAAGCTGAGCTGGAGGCCCTGAGACTCCTCACAGTTGATGCTTGCGATTGCAGCTCACTTCGTGAGCTCCATGTTCTGGTTGACTGCCAACTGACCCTTGATGCAGTCCAGCAAGGGGGTCATGAGTATCCTTTGCTTGTGGGTGCGATACGCTCCTTGCGCGCCTCGCTGGAGCACAGAGGGATTAGGGTTTGCCTTCACTGGGTCCCATCCCATGGCAGCGTTTCGGTCCTATCCCATGGCAGCGTTTCGGCTCGTTGGGTCCCATGGTCAGGCGCCAGGCCTGAAACACAACGCATGCGGAATGACTGGGTGGACCGAGAGGTCCGTGCAACTTGCAAGCGTAGATTGCAGTGCTCACTTAGAGCCGCTTTCGCAGCCGCAGGCACGGCGTGCCAGCCTTTGGGAACAGCAGGCCATTTGCACCTGCGCTTCTGCGGGGTTGCGTTTGGCCAATGCTTTGCAGTAGCCACCGATCTCTGGCTGCTAGGAATTTGCATCCTGGAGTCGGGCATCCTGAATACCCTGAAATGAATATATTTAGATGTTCAGCATCAACACCCCCCCCCATGCACCAACCTAGCGAGGCATTGCTCACCTGTGACAGCCCAGCCGTGCACGTTTCAACAAGTCTTGTCGTTCAGAAACCTTCTTGTTCCAAGTTCCGCAGTCCTAAAATAGTCGCACGTACTTGCAAAAGGTTGGGTCCCCTCAATTTTAGCACATGTCAGGTATGCGTTGCTACAAATGTAGAATGAAGCATATCAAAGAGGATAAGGAGTTCGTTTGTTGCTTGTAAGTAAATCTTGGAGATTTGAATTGTTCATAATATTTGATAACAGATGGCTGGTTTGTCTGAACAGGGACCTATCAAATGGCCATCTCAAGTCATATACGATATCTTCCTTTCTCAGGGGATCAATGTAGACCATCTTGTCTATTCCTCAGCAGAATGCATCAGAATGCCATACTTTTCGTGCTTTGCTGCTAATCTGGTCAGGAGTTCTTATGTTTTTCTGATGCCAAACGTTTTCCGTCGTGCAGGAATATTTATAAATCCTATCTCTTTCTGCTGCAAAGGGTCCTTTTTCCTGTCGAAAAATGTTTAGTTCAGACTATTCTATTCGAACTTAGCAGCGTAAGCAGTTTTCACATGACAAGCAGGACTTCTTTCTTGCTTAGCAGGGAGTGAACTGTTTTGTGTTTTGTGATGAGCACATGGAGCATCTCATATCTTGTTACAACAAGTGGGGCACGGACGTGCGCAATTACTGGTACCTGTCGGTTGAGATGCAAAGGAGATGTCTTTTTTCTGGAATACCAGCGTCCCAGATTTCCCATCAGTTAATAGTGGAACATGCTCTCTTTCTTTTACCGCTCAGCCTGGAAGTAGCCCCTGAGTTGTTGCAGGGAGCAAGCCACAGACAGACCAGGCCAGTTGTTCCAGAGTTGATGCTTTGCTTGTTTTGCCAACGTTTTGGGATGGCTCCCGTCTTGAAGTGAAACCCACTTCATAGAAGAGAGCACATGTGCAGACCTAAATCCTAGAAGACTGGACAACTTTATTAAATGAGCAAACTATTCTCAAAGGGCACACTTGTAATTTGGGTCGTAATACTCTAAAGAAACCAAGGTTAAGGATCTTTTTTTTTCCGGGTTTGCTTGTTCATAAAACATGCAAATAAGGAATCTAATGAAAGCGCACCAAAGGACATCTTGATTGGAGGTATTGCAGAGGAAATTTGATGGCTGAATGCAGGGGGAAACTCAAACTGCCTTCATTTCCTGACCTTGTATTGCTTTGAAAAACATGACTTTGAGGAAAAGTATGTAAAGAACCAATTCCATGAACATTGATTAGACTCATCAATGAAAATTCATCCATATGGGAAGTGGTGCCTATCGACATCTTTCAGTGAATGTGAAACCCCAATCATGAAGAATGTCTCATCTGGTTCTTTTAACACTACGAGTGTTAGTGGATGCAAACGCGTTTTTTATCTAGGGAGACAGGCCAAACACGCAAATCTCGAACATGATTATCTTTATTGGGTTTTCCCATGCTTGCTAAGCCTGAGCTGATGGAAGCATTCGAGAGACCAAGAAAGCATGAATTTCTGATTCTACTCTTCTGGAAACCTTGGAAAAGAAGAAAACCCGACAAACCAAGATTTTCGGACTATCCCAGAATTTAAAGATTTCAGGTATTTCTCCATTTTCATAATCGCCCGGATTCCTGGTTCAAGAGCTGAGAACCGTCCCAAATTTAATTGAAACGGATAAGGACGTCCTGGAATCCTGATTCTTGGGTTTTCGAGCTGGGTCCGGTCCATATAAATCTCTGATTGCACGGCAAATCGTGGAATCCTGGTTCTTGGTTTTTGCAATGTTCTAATGGCTTTATTGGGACAACACAGCATGTTTGCATTATTTGTCAAAAGTGCTGTAGTGTCCCATAAAACCAACCCTTTTGTGCAAAAACGTTGTGCTGTCTCAAAAGCGACACCGCAATGTGTTGGCGCTGGAGGGCCTGAAGACCCCAAAACAGTGGTGTTTGATTTTATTGGGACAGTACAGCATGCTTGCAATCTCTCATTTGTTTTATGGGGACAACACAGCATTGTGGCATTTTTCATGAAGTGCTGTGTTGTCTCAATAAAACCATCTTCTTGTGCAAAAATCGTTGTTAAAGGTTTTCATGGTCAGGATCTCAAAGCCGTTGCAAAAACAAGGAAAACCGTGGGTTCTTGGTTTTGAAAGATAGCTTAATAGATTATGGATAAAGCTTCTCATCTCTTTAACCCATCTGCCTGCAGGAGTGACCTCCCGCGAAATTAGAAGCAAGGCAGAAAAAGGTAGGTACATGAAGGGACCACCATATATATGTATATATCTATATGTATACATATCTATATATACATATGTGTATATATATATATATGGGCGGGAGGGTATCCCCCCCTTCCCCGTGTATTTCGTAGCGTTTGATAATAATTTTCATAACCCCCCCTACATTTCGTAGCCTCTGTACCAACGATTCTATATAGGGCTCATTAATCTCACTAGGATTTACAATATACAATCCTCCTATTCCCTTGAAAAAATTACTGGAATATACTTCCGATTTAAAAGACGTTGCAAATCCTGAATTGTTTGTTCACAAACGCCTGGGAATAAACTCCCTGAAAATTATGATGCTTCAAAATCTAAAAAAGAATTCATAAATCCCAGGTTCTTCTTCTTCACCATAGAGATTCCTGACTACTGTAAATTCTATCCTGTTCGCCTTATTCTTCATATATAAATCCCATATTACAAGTGTTCCTACGTATTCCTGATTAAATGTGTCTCACAGTTCACTTGGAAATAAGAAATCGTTCAGAATATTACATTCATTGGAGACCATGAGAATATTCCTGGAAAGGGTTTATGAAGAGAAAAAGAAGCCTACGACTTGAGAATTTGTAGCTAAATTTACAGCATATATAGAAGGATTTTGTACATAGAAAATTGAGGAAAACGGGAGCCCCGGAGCGCAAAAACTATTTCGAGTCCAAGGCAACCAACAACTCACTAAGCCTCAGGTCTTACGAACGGAGTAAAAGTCTTTTCTCCACAAAGAAGATGAAAGAGATATGCAACTGACTTGAGAGAAGTGGAAGCTCTGGTTTCTTACAGGTGTGCCTCTTGATCCCATAGAAATTCAAAAGCATCTGCTGGAGCTTGAGCTCCGTGCTTTTATTTACGACATCTTTGTTGCATTTCAAGAAATTGTTCTTGATTTCACATCATGTGCTATATATAAGGCCCTGTGTATAATCAAGCTTATATTCTTTAGACTTTAGAGAATATATCTCGTCCTCTTCAAAAAGATACAAGAGCAGCCCTACTGATATTGCAAGCTAGCCAACAACAATGTAGAAGTTTGTCAAGAATTTTGCTTTTGAAATTGTGGTAAGATAGGTGAGGTCAACCACTACTATATCAAACCATTAAACAGATGGGTTTCCCCATATGGAAATCTGAATACCATACATTCATTTGGGTTATATGGACGAGATAACTGTGTAACACAGAGATATCGTAACGAATCCTAGATTTCCATATGAACATGTTATTTGGTTTGCCCAACTGAATTTCGTGCATTTCATTTCTATAGCCTGAGAACAGCTCTGAGTAACTGATTATGAGATATGTCTACTTAATCTAGAAGTCTTGAACGTGTGCTTGGAAACACAAAGCCCGTTTCAAAACTAGTGGGAATACCATTGGACCGCTAAACCACTGAATCACTGAACGATTGAACCATTAAACCATTAAACCACTGAACCAATAAAACATTAAACCATTAAACCAATGG